TTAGGGAGCCGCGCGGCAGCGGCGTGCACCCCCCGCTGCATGGCCCCGAACCACCCTCCCAGCGCGTCTGATTGCGGGCGCCCGGCGCTGCTGCGGGCCCGAAATCCCGGAGCAGGTGGAGCCCTTCTCAGGGCTGAAGGGAGACTAGAGCAGGTGCAGGAGCGTCCTCGTAGCGGGGTCGGGTGGAGCCTCCCCTGCAATTAGGGAGCCGCGCGGCAGCGGCGTGCACCCCCCGCTGCATGGCCCCGAACCACCCTCCCAGCGCGTCTGATTGCGGGCGCCCGGCGCTGCTGCGGGCCCGAAATCCCGGAGCAGGTGGAGCCCTTCTCAGGGCTGAAGGGAGACTAGAGCAGGTGCAGGAGCGTCCTCGTAGCGGGGTCGGGTGGAGCCTCCCCTGCAATCGCAGGGAAAGAAGCAGGAGGCCTGGTTGAGGAGCTCGCCCTATTTTCTATCTCCCCTGATAATAGTGCCTGTGATAAAGTGTTTGCTGGTGGAGGATGCACAACGTTTCCGAGGGATAAAGCGTATCCAGCTACTGCTGTCCATGTAGTGTAGCCAAGCCCCAGGGTTTGGCACTCAGGACTTAGGCCTCCTAGTGATACACGATTAGCTTAAAATCATGAGTAATTAAAAAGAGAATCTGGGGCCCTTTTGATACACCCCTTGAGTTCAGTCTCAAGTATTTCTTTGCATGGAAGATGTGCTTCTTGTGTAATGGCAGGACTCAAGCTGTGGATTTAAGTAAACCATGACATTTTAACACAAGTCTCTCTCAGTATTTGAAGAATTGATAGGTTGCTAGACTAGAGGTTTGCCATGAGCTTGGTCTGTGTGGTTCTGCTTTTCTACAGAGCACCACTGTCCTCAGTGGGTTCTACGTAGGCATTGGAGTCCATGCAGCAATGCTAGTTACAGAATCAGGGCCTTGGATATGGTTTTAGCTAGGAATATAGAATTCCAAGTTATCAGTTAACTGGTTAAACATTGTTTAACCGGTTAACTGTTGATATGAAGGCAGGTGGCGGGTGGGGGGGGGAGGTCAGTCTAGCCTACTGGGCTGGAGTGGCTCCCATGCCAATGGCAGGGGCTGCTCCAGCCCAGGTGTGTCTGACCCCATCCTGGGTTGCTGGGTCTTGGGGTGGGAGTCGGCAGTGTTGCACCAAAGAGGGCTGTTAGCCAACCCCAACTCTTTCTGCCACTTCAGCCCCAGGCAAGGCTACCAACTTCCAGCCTACAAGCCTATGCAGGCTGGTAGTGAGCAGCCTTTCCCAGGTCCCACTATGTCATGTTCCCCTCCCCACATGAGGATGCCAATTACCAGCCCTTGTAGACTGGGCACTCCATAAGGCTGAATCAGCCCACTGCTTGTAGTGGGCTGTAGGCAAGGGGTCACTTGTGGGTAACGGTTAACCTTTATCCAGTAAGCATCACCTATTCAGGTTAACTGGTTACCCATTCAAATCCCTGGTTTTAACTAGTATGGATGTTAGTGATTAATAGTGTATAACTGCACAAAATATTATAGGTTACACAATTATCTGATAGTCCAAGAAGGTGGGGCTGGTAGCTAGTTTGCTCTTGGCCCTACTCCCGGGGAGCCTCATGCTACCTAATGCTGCTGTCTCTGGCTTGAAAGCTGGCTTCCCGTGTGTACTGGTTCCTGTGTCCCCCCTCATTGGGATGGGAGGGGGCAGGCAGTTCCACAAATCTGGTGCTTGTGGGAAGCCAGCTCCCAAGGGCACTGACTCTCGCTCCCTCCACAGCCCTCTGCTGCTTCTGACAGAGGCAGCAAGCAGGGGTGCATATAGGGCAGGGCAAGCAGGATGGCCGCCCCAGGCTTCAAGAAGCCCCGCGCATGCACCGTGGCAAAGGGGGGCTCCGCAAAATTGTGCTGCCCTGGGCCCCACAAAATGGTCATCTGCCCCTGGCAGCAAGGAGGGAGAACACATGTAGTGGATAAAATGAACCAATAAGCTTAGGCTTATTGGTTAATTGTGTACTTAACTACACATTAACATCCCTATTAGTGTTCTACCTCAGAAGAAATCTGAAATGTGTATAGTTGATACCTTATTTACCATGTGCTGCTTTTATCCTGTAGGTCATATTCTCTCCTGCAACATCTGTTTGCTGCTTCAGCACCTCATCCTTCCATGGACAATCAGAAGATGGAAGACTTATTTACATTGGGAATTTAGCAAAGGCAGTTAGGGGTATGTGACTGGAATTGAAGTATATTAACGTATCTATATTTAAACATTTCTTTAAAACAGTGTGCTGTTGTGAGTGGAGGCCTGGTATTTCTAGTCAGATATGCAATAACACATCTACTAAGCAAAAGGTTTAAATAAAAACAGTCAAATTCTAAAAAAAAAAAACCCACGAGATTACCCCATAAATCACAAGATCTTTGAGAAAAAAAAAGATGGACACACTATCTTTAGATATTTAGAGAGCAGCTCTCCCCGGGCCCAGAGTATGTATTTGATAATTAGTGGTGAAATGACAAAAGTTTCGGATGACACAACATTACTGAAGATTAAGTCCCAGGCACACTATGAAGAGCCACAAAGGGATTTCCCAGAACTGTGTGACCAGGGAACAAAATGGCAGATGAAATTCAGTGTTAATAAATACAAAGTAATGCACACTGGGAAAATGTAATTCCAACTATACATATCAAATGATGGGATCTAAATTAGTTGTTACCTCCCAGGAGAGATATCTTGGGGTTGTTGTGGATAGTTGAAAATATTCACTCAGTGTGCTGTAGAGATGTGAAAGTTTAACCGGTGGGGACTGGAGCAACTCCCTGCCAGCCATGGACAGGGGACTGCTCCTAACCCACAGCGGGTGCGCTGCAGACAGCTCTCCACCTGCTCTAGCTTGCCTGCCCCCTTTAACTAGTTAGCCAATTAAACATCACATTTAACTGGTTAACCAATTAAATGTGATTTTACATCCCCAGTGTGCTGTGGTAAGCAGAAAAGTGAACAGAATGATGGAAATAATTAACAAAGGGATAGGTAAGATGACACAATATAACATACTGCCTCCATATCAATCCATTATATGCTCACATCCTGAGTACTGCATACAGATGTGGTTGCCCTGTCTCAAAAAAGATGGAGTTGGAAAAAGTTTCAAAAAAGAACAACAAAATGATTGGGGTACGAAATGGCTTCTCTAGAAGGAGAGATTTCCAAGCTCGAAAGTCCCAATCTTGTTAAAGAGGCAACTAAGGGTGGGGGAAGATTGATTGAAATATATAAAATCATGAGCAGTGTGGAGAAAAAAAATAAATAAGGAAGTATTAGTTGCTTCTCATAGCACAAGAGCTAGAGATCCCCAAATGAAAGTAGTAGGCAACAGTTTAAAAACAAAGAAAAGGAAGTATTTCTTCACACAACACACAGTCAGCCTGTGGAACTCTTTACCAGAGTATGTTGTGAAGGCCAGGACTATTAACAGTATTTGAAAAGGCATGCCTTCATAAATGTTCTATTAATTAGGATGGTGTCCCTAGCCTCTATTGGTGTCCCTAGCTTCAGTTTCCCTGAAGCTGGGAATGAATAGCAGGGAATGGATCACTTGATGATTATCTGTTCTGTGCTCTGAAGCCCAGGGAATTGGTTCCTGTTGGAAGAGAGGGCTAGATAGACTTTTGGTCTGACCTAGTATAGCTGTTCTTATCTAACTTTAATTCATTAACCATAGAGGAGAAGGAGGGCACTGGTCTTTGATTCCTACATGATGACTTCAGAAGTTCCATAATAATAAAGGATAATTGCTAAACTTAATGATAGTTAAGAGTGTCTATAAGTACAATGCATATAAATGTTTGATTATAAACTAACCTATGATTTTCATCTCATCCAGGTGTGAAATTTTTATCCTATTTTACAAGCATATTTAGCTTGTATGTGATGCTCAACCTGAATGCCAACATGAGTTCTGAAGTTCAAAGTCTGCTTTTGGAACCTGCCATTTATGGTGTAGGATTCATGATATTTGCAATACCAATTATCATGCATCGGTTTACAAAAGGCTATGTGGTTCGGCTGTATCATAAAGCTGAGACTGACACATACACAGCCATTACATATAATGCTATTTTGTTAGAAAAAAGAACTGTGTTCCATCAGAGGGATGTCAAAGTTCCAACCATCAGCAAGTTGTTTACAACATTTAATGCCAAAACTAAATCAATGTTTGTTAATCCAGCGCTGTTCACATATTCACGGGACTATGACCATCTCATGGGTCATAAACTTTTATTTTGACTTTGAGGGGAAAAAATGAATCCAGTGAAAACAAACAGAACTGGATGTTAATAAAGGTGGCTCTCTTTTTTTATGTGTCCAGTGCATTGTTTCAAAAGCCACACACATTATAAAAAAGCTTTCATAAGTGTCATGTAAAAAACAAAGTTACCTATCTCAGAAGGTACAGAAAACCCAAGATTTAATTTCAAACAAACAATCTGAAGCAAATTAAAACAGAGGCTTTAGTCTGTTTTATTAGTCATTACAGCCATAAAAAGAAAAACGAAAACTGATTTGATCTTACTATTACACTGCAAGCTCTGCAATATAGTGTTTTAAAGTAGCTATTCTTTAAAACCAGCAGCATTCACTAATCAAGTACAGGAATAAGAATGAAGCCCCAGAAATAGTCTGCATCTAATAAGTGAAGGGGCCAATTTTTTTGGCTTATGTTCAGATGGACAGTTTCTACTCCATTTATACCATAATTCTTCCAGCATGGAGGAGTCCTGAGGAAATAAATAGCTACTGTTGCTGGCACCTACAACTCTTTCACTATAGCTCTTACAGTAGGGAACAGGAGGAGTATCCGTAGCACTCTGGCTATCCCTCAGAGCCTTCCAGCAGTTAGGTACAACTGCCAGATTGTGAAAGTTAGATGGAGCAATTCACAATTTACTCTAACCTGTAACCAGATTTCAAGTGTGAAGTCAGCATTGGAGAAAACAAGAATATGCTTGAAAATGTAACAGAGTAGTAGTCATGGGCCACTTGGATGCACAAACTATATTACAGAACATCAACAAGATTGCAAAGTCAAGCACTCTTAAGGTTAGGAAGTGGTAGAATGAAAGTTGCTGTATAATCTTAATTTGCCCTCCTTGCATGTGTGTGTTATGCACAGTGTTTGGTTACATGATCACATACTATTATTCTGTGTACAGGCTTTCTAGTTTTTCCTAACATTTGAATACATGATGTTGCAAATGTAATAATATCTTAATGTAGTTTTTATATGGAATAAAGAAAATAGCATGTAGCAAAACATCTGCAACCTAGGTGTGAGCCTCTGCTTGAATTAGATAATTTAGTATAAAAATACTTTTGTCATTTACATGGACCCTGTGGCGGGCCACTCCCGCCTGGCCCTCCCACAGGACCTCTTAAGTCCAAGGCCCTCTGGCCGGAGTCCAAAACACAGTTCAGGGTTGTAGCGGGGATGCACCTCAGTTAGGGGGACCCGGGCCCACCCTATTCCACCGGGTCCCAGCCCAGGGCCCTGTGAGTGACCAGATAGTGGGTCACTCCCTCATCAGGGAAATCCAGCCAAAATGCACCAAGGTTCTCAGGGCAGGAGAGGTGCTTCCTGCTCCTGCCCTGGGCCACTTCCTACCTGGTTCACTGGGGTTCCTTCCCATGTACTCATCCAGCTTGCTGCGGCCTCCAGGCTGGCGTCTTCTTGGTGGGCAGTCTCTGGAGTGTATAAGCTCACTTCTGCATCCCCACCAGCCTCTTCTGGAGTCTCTGGTGACCACTGTGTGGAAGCTCCCTTTACAAGTCCTTCTCCTCCAGCTGTCACCCCTGACTTGAGTCCTTCCCCAGGCTTTTATAGTGGAGCTACAGCCCAGGCATGCTCCGTAGGGCTGCGGGGGAGGGGCCTCTGCAGCCAGGTAACCCTGGCTGGGCCCTGCAGGCTTAGTGCGGGGCTGCCTCGCTCCGTCACAGACCCCAAGAGCTTTAAAGTAGCACCATGGCTCACAGAACACTTTTGTTCAACCTGAGTCAAAATGTGAAAAAAGCAAACATCATTCTGGGATGTATTAGCAGGAGTGTTGTAAGCAAGACATGAAAATTAATTCTTTTGCTTTATTTTGTGTTTATCAGGCTGCAACTGGAGTAGTGTCCAGGTCTGGGCACCACATTTCAGGAAAGATGTAGACAAACTGGAAAAGGTCCAAAGAAGAGCAACAGAAATGAATAAAGTCTAGAAAGCATGACCTATAAGGAAAGATTGAAAGAATTATGTTTTAGGATGGAAAAGAGAAGACTTAAGTGAAGACATGATAGTAGCTTTCAAGTATCTAAAAGGTTGTTACAAGGAGGAAGAAGAAAAATTATTCTCCTTTGTCCTCTAGTAATAGGACATGAAGCAGTGGGCTTAAATTGCAGCAAAGAAGATTTAAGTTGGACCTTAGGAAAACTTCCTGTCAAGGTGGTTAAGCACTGGAATAAATTGCCTGGGGAGGTTGTGGAATCTCTGTTGGAAATTTTTAAGAGCAGATTAGACAAATACCTGTCAGGATTGGTCTACATCAGGGTGAGCAATCATTTTTGCAGGGAGGCCACGTCACAAATTTTAATACATGGTTGTGCGCTGGCTTTGGGCTTCCTGGAAGGGGCAGGGCTGGGGGCTACCCAGACTAAGAATGTGTGTGTGTGACAGGCTTTGTGATGCAGATTGAGTGTGTGAAGCCGTGTTATGTGACAGTGACTTAGGGTATGTCTAGACTACATTATTTTTTCAATAAAACCTGCCCTTTTTTCGAAAAAACTTCACCTGGTAGGCGTGTGTGGACACAAAACAGGGACATTTTTCAAAAGAAGCAATCAAAAAAAGCACAGGTGCCCTAGTGGCCATTTAGTGAATAGCAATCAGGGCTTTCTTTCAAGAGAGCGTCCATGCAGTCTGGATGCTCTCTTTTGAAACAGCAGATTGCTATTTCGATCTGGTTTTGAGGTGTGGACGCTGTCTTTCGAAAGAAGCTTGCAGTCTAGATGTACCCTTTGTGTATGTGGTGCAGAGCCAGTGTGGCAGTGCTGGCTGCTTCTAGGTAAGTTTCTGGAATAAGCTATGCTGTGTCTCTTTAAAATAAATATTTCGTGCTCTGCTCTCCGCTGAGTCACTTACACTGCAGATTGGAGCAACTCTGCTGCATCTCTCCCTGACCACTGGTCAGAGATGGGGTACAAAGGTCAGGGCACCCTGACTTCAGCACTCCCCTCTCTCCATCCTCATACTACCTGTGCATGGTGGAGGATGGGGTAAGAGAATTCTGGGAGCAGCTCAGAGCAAAGTGGGGGAAGGGCAGCTGAACTCTGCTAGCTGTAAGTATGCACTTCTGCTAAGCATCTTGGCGGTCCGAGAGAAATGATTGCCCACCCCAATCTAGATGGTGGTTGGTCCTGCCATGAGTGCAGGGGAGTGGACTTAATGACATCTTGAAGTTCTTTCCTCTAAAGGGACCTGCTTTTTGCTGGCCATTTTGGTGGTTTCTTCTCTAAATTTCACAGTAATTTATTTTACTGATACAAAAAAGTTTATGACCCAATCCAGCTTCCCATCAACAAATATCAATATCAATGCAATGGCATTAAGGGGCAATTTTTGCTATAAGAGCAGAAACTAGGATTGAATGAGCAGATGCTAAACTACCCTTTCACCTGTTGTCAGAGGTGTGGTTGATGGGGCAGCATGGGAAAGTTTTCATTATAAAATTGTTTGCAATACCCATTCAGAGGATAGAGGATTTAATTCAATATTTTTCAAAAGAGATGGATTAATTCCTTTCAAAATCACTAATTCCAAATAAAATAAGCAAAATAAAAAGTTTATTTTTTCCAGTTGTTGGGATAGCTGAATTAGACATACAGGCTGTGTCTACATTGGCGCAATCTTGCACCAAAGCGGCCGCTTTTGTGCAAAAACATGCTGCCTGTCTACCCTGGCGGGGAGTTCTTGCACAAGAACACCGGCCTTCTAATGTGTGAAATCAGTGCTTTTTGCGCAAGAACCATGATGCTCCCGCTCAGGAATAAGCCCTCTTCCACAACTGTTCTTGCACAAGAGGCCAGTGTAGACAGGCAACATGAATTTCTTGCGCAAGAAAGCCCGATGGCTAAAATGGCCATCGGAGCTTTCTTGTGCAAGAGAGCCTCTACACTGGCACAGATGCTCTTGCGCAAAGGCACATCTCTTACGCAAATACTTTAACGCAAGAACTCTTGCGTTAAAGAGTATTTGCGCAAGATCATGCCAATGTAGACGTAGCCTAAATATTAACGATTTTGTCTAGGCTATAATTAAAACAAGCATAGTAGGGGTTCTAAGTTGTGTCCTGTAAGGGTTTTAATTTTCTTGTGCAGAGGAAACATAGTTATACTATAATCTGGAACAGTCTGGGAAACAAATGAAAATTGATTTACATCAGACAATTCTTTAGTTATGGAGTTAGCTAACCCTGACCTAATCATGGCCTTTTCCCTCATGTTGACTCAAGATAACACATTTTCCCTTGGTTCAACTGGCCAAGGTCAGCCCTAGGCACCTCATTAACATCAATCCCTTTCCTAATTTATATAGAAATGCTGAGTTGTAACTGGGTCTTCCTAGCATGGCTGTGATTGAAATGTAGCTAGCACATTATTAAAGTTCTCTACTATTAATGTTCATAGCACCAAACTTTCCAAATGTTGGCAAACAGTTGTGGCAAAAATGCACTAGGTCACTGGCTTGATACAACTGTGAAGCCTATGAGCCTGATGCTGCCACATGCTGCACACTAAGAATGTTAAATAGCAGTTAGGAAGCTAATCCAGTAGTCGAGTGAATTTTTTGATAAGGGGGTTTGTTGCAGCTCTGCTTTTTAAATGTAGTAAGAGCTCCCAAGCTCCTACTACATTTAAAAAGCTCAGCCACAGTGGTCTGGGGCCAAGTGCAAGCCAGGACAGCTGAGTCTCAGATCCCACCTGGTCCCAAACACTGTGTCTCTGCTTTTTAAATGTAGTTTCAAGAGCAGAGGTGCAGCGTCTGGGACCCAGTGCACCCCAGGATTGCTTAGTCCCACCAGGATTGCTTAGTCCCCTGAAACAGAGGCAGCAAGGGCAGAGGGAGGGGAGGAAGCGACAACCTGATAAGCCTTGGCTCATCAGGTAGTCAGCTAGTCACTTGCATCCTTACTGCACATCACTGAAGTCAATTGCCATTGAAACACAGGTGAAAAGTAAGGTGGTGAGCGCTATTGTGCCACTCTGTCAAGAAGCAGCCCATTGGCTGGGGCACTCTGCTACAGGAGGCACCAGGCATTCTCAGCTGGGTTACTGGGCACTACTGCAGGCTTTCATGTTAAGCAGCAGGCAGGTGAAAGGGGCTGGTGGGGGCATGCTCATCCATGGGTCCAGGACTGCACCAGCCCTGAGCTTCTCCACAGGGATGAATCCTCCTGAAAGGATATTCTGATTGCTCAATGGATGTGAAATCCTATGCAAAATATTAAGATTAAATTATATGTTTAACCAGTTAACTGGCCTGCTGCAGCGAGGGGATGCTGCTCAGTCAGTCAGTCTGGGTGCCAATTAACTGGCTAATGGTATGCAGGGTTACTTGCTTATATCCCTAGCTTGCTCTTCCCCTTCCGGTTACTCTCAGGCTCTGTCTACACGGGTGCAATCTTGCGCAAAAGCAGCTGCTCTTGCGCAAAAACTTGCTGCCTGTCTACACTGGCTGCACATTCTGGCGCAAGTACAGTGATGTCGTAATGTATGAAATCAGGCCTTCTTGCACCAGAACTCTGATGCTCCCGCTCAGGAATAAGCCCTTTTGCATAACTGTTCTTGAGCAAGAGGCCAGTGTAGAAAAGCCATGGGAGCTTTCTTGTGCAAGAGAGCATCTACACTGGCACGGATGCTCTTGCGCAAAAGCACATGCCAGTGTAGATGCTCTTCTGGAAGAGTTTTTGCTTAAGAAGCTACCAGTGTAGACATATCCCCAGGCTAGCAAGAACAGCTCCATCCCAGCGGTGGCGGAATACAGCAGTACCTGTAAGAAATTAAACCCTTACTCCCCCCCTCCCCACAGTTGAAGTCCAGACGCCCGCGGGAGGTTTAGCAAAGTTCTCCCCAGGTAAGGTTGCAGACACTGGGGCGACCCG